ACATAGACTTACTCTATATAAAATTATGCTTAAGCAAAAATACTCTACCAGTGATACTTTGTAGGCTTTTCAATAAACAATTATGTATTATGTAAATCTAATGCACTCCACAGATAGCGAAGATCCTGTATTGATATGTCCACCTGACAGTAGTTTATCAATTGACGGAGGAATGTCGACAGCTACTGTCATATATAATGCTTCAGATGTTAGAGTAACTGACAACTCAGGGGAATCTCTTGTTCCAATTACCACAACATCATTTCCAGCTAAATTTGTGATAGGACCAACCAATGTAACGTATACAGCAACCGATTCCTCAGGAAATACCGGTAGTTGCACGTTTACAGTAACTGTTATAGGTTAGTTATATATTGTTATCTATACATAGACTTACTCTATATAAAATTATGCTTAAGCAAAAATACTCTACCTGTGATACTTTGTAGCCTTTTCAACAAACAATTATATATTATGTAAATTTAATTTTCTCTACAGATAGCGAAGATCCTGTATTGACATGTCCACCTGACAGTAGTTTATCAATTGACGGAGGAATGTCGACAGCTACTGTCACATATAATGCTTCGGATGTTACAGTAACTGACAACTCAGGGGAGTCTCTTGTTCCAATTACCACAACATCATTTCCAGCTGAATTTGTGATTGGACCAACCAATGTAACGTATACAGCTACCGATTCTTCTGGAAATACTGGTAGTTGCACGTTTACAGTAACTGTTACAGGTTAGTTATACATTGTTATCTATACATAGACTTACTCTATATAAAATTATGCTTAAGCAAAAATACTCTACCAGTGATACTTTGTAGCCTTTTCAACAAACAATTATATATTATGTAAATCTAATATACTCTACAGATAGCGAAGATCCTGTATTGATTTGTCCACCTGACAGTAGTTTATCAATTGACGGAGGAATGTCGACAGCTACTGTCACATATAATGCTTCGGATGTTACAGTAACTGACAACTCAGGGGAATCTCTTGTTCCAATTACCACAACATCATTTCCAGCTGAATTTGTGATTGGACCAACCAATGTAACGTATACAGCTACCGATTCTTCTGGAAATATTGGTAGTTGCACGTTTACAGTAACTGTTACAGGTTAGTTATATATTTTTATCTATACATAGACTTACTCTATATAAAATTATGCTTAAGCAAAAATACTCTACCAGTGATACTTTGTAGCCTTTTCAACAAACAATTATGTATTATGTAAATCTAATTTACTCTACAGATAGCGAAGATCCTATATTGATATGTCCTCCTGACAGTAGTTTATCAATTGATGGAGGAATGTCGACAGCTACTGTCACATATAATGCTTCGGATGTTACAGTAACTGACAACTCAGGGGAATCTCTTGTTCCAATTACCACAACATCATTTCCAGCTGAATTTGTGCTTGGACCAACCAATGTAACGTATACAGCTACCGATTCTTCTGGAAATACTGGTAGTTGCACGTTTACAGTAACTGTTACAGGTTAGTTATATATTGTTATCTATACATAGACTTACTCTATGTAAAATTATGCTTAAGCAAAAATACTCTACCAGTGATACTTTGTAGGCTTTTCAATAAACAATTATGTATTATGTAAATCTAATGCACTCCACAGATAGCGAAGATCCTTTATTGACATGTCCAGCTGACACCAGCTTATCAACTGACGGAGGAATGTCAACAGCTACTGTCATATATAATACTTCAGATGTTACAATAACTGACAATTCAGGGGAAACTCTTGTTTCAACGACTACAACATCATTTCCAGCTGAATTTGTGATAGGACCAACTAACATAACCTATACAGCCACTGATTCCTCAGGAAATACCGGTAGTTGTACGTTTACAGTAACGGTTACAGGTCAGTTATATTTCTTTATGTATACATAGACTTATTCCATATGAGATTGTGGTTAAGCAAAATATTCTACCAGTGATACTTTGTAGGCTTTTCTACAAATAATATGTATTATGTAAATCTAATGTTCTCCACAGATAGCGAAGATCCTGTATTGACCTGTCCACCTGACACTAGCTTATCAACTGACGGAGGAATGTCGACAGCTACTGTCACATATAATGCTTCGGATGCTACAGTAACTGACAACTCAGGGGAAACTCTTGTTGCAATTACCACATCATCATTTCCAGCTCATTTTGTGATTGGACCAACCAATGTAACGTATATAGCAACCGATTCTTCTGGAAATACTGGTAGTTGTACGCTTACAGTAACTGTTACAGGTTAGTTATTTATATTTATCTATAGAAATACGTACTCCATAGAAAAATATGTTATAGCAAAAATACTATACAAATGATACTCTGTGAGATTTTCAACAAACAATTATGTATTGTTGTGCATATAACTATATGGTCAAGTATGGTACTTAATCAGTTAAATTTGTTCATCTAATCTTGATTCTTACCTCTAAATTGGGGTTTTATTTACTTACACCAACTTTTTGAAAGTGATTTTAGTTTTCCTCTTATGTATCTATGGAATTTTTAGTATTCTTAAGCAACAATTATCAGTTTGTGGAATTACCATGATCAATCCTTTGATAAATTTTAGGTTAGCATTGATCGAGTACTAGCCGATTCCCATCTTTACAACGTCGGAGATTTTAGCATTCATTATGAGTGCAATATACCTTACCAACTTTCAATTTACAAGCACTGCTTTCTAGCATTTTAAATATTTTAAATTTTAATCAGGTTGTTCCCTTTATTACAAGAAGGCGAACTGAGCACAGCAGTAATGGTACATTTGATCATATTTATACAAATAAGTACAATATAGTTACATCTATCACTCCTCATTCAGGCATTGTAGGAAGTGATAATTATGGTAATTTTTATTAATCTAAACCTAAGTGTTGCCTCAAATGCCTTGCCTCATAGTCACTTTTTAGAATATTCGAAAATAAACACCAATGATTTCAACACAACTTTTTCAAACCGTGATTGAGAAGACTTTTGTTACAGAAGATGTAAACAAAATTTGGGAAAAGTTTAAAACAAAATTCCTTGATGTCATTTTGAAAGTTGTTACTAAATGTAAAGCCAAAAGAAGAATGAAAAAACCTTGGATAACTGCTGAGATAATATGTTTTTCTGAAATGAATATGAAATAGTTTAAAATTGCTAAGGCTACCAAATATTCTCAAAATTTTCAACCATGGCGAACCGCCCATAAGTTGGTGTAAAAGCTCAATTACACTGACACATAAAGCCGGTGACACTTCTGTACCGGAAAATTTCAGGATGATCTCATTAATATCCGGCATGGGGGAAATCTATTACCAAATTTTAGCCTACCATATTGCTGATTTAATGACTCAAGTACTTGAAACACATCTACACAAAAAGCATTTCTCAAAGGAATTAATGGATGCATTGAACATTTGTCATAAATGAACTGATAGCAGTGGCCAGAAAAACTAAAAAAAAACAATACATATCACGTATTTTGACCTTGCTGAGGCCTTCAAATCGACTGAACATAAGCTTATCCTCCATTCTCTCAAGAAAAGTAACTTACCTGAACAAATCTGCAATTATATGCGCAGCTCAATGAAAGAATCAACGGACCGAACTGGGAGCCGGATCCATTCCACTTAGAAGGAGAGTTTTCAAGGCAACTACTTTCGCCTATTATTTTCTTAACTGATTTTAACCCAAATTTAGAATACATTAAACATCACATGAATTTTACTTAGAAGGCCATAAATACATAACCTTACCTTTTGCTGACGATTTCTGTATTTTAACTAAAGATAAAAGGCTCTAATGACTGAAATATATAAAATTGTTAACTCTATGAGATTAAACCTAATAAATGTTTTTCGATTAGAAGTGGTAAGCCTTACGAATGCACATTTTGGCTATGTGAAAATAAACTCACGACTATAAAATACGCACCAGAAACATTTCTGGGTAGCCTTATTATTTTTAAAAGTAAAACAAACGAGATATTTTCATCTGTCAAAGATACTTTGTGCAGGATGATTGATAATATTAACCTATCGCTTATTAGAGATAAGTTTAAGTTAAGAACATTTATGCAGTACGGCATCCCTTCCATGAGGTACCTCCTGACAGTGCGTGAATTGACTGACAGTCAGCTGCAACAGCTTGACCACATTCACACTAAAGCTATCAAGACATGGCTAGGTATGTCTATAACTTTGTCTACCCCTGCTATCGTCCAGAGCCCAGATGGACTCTGGATTCCCTGACTGTCGGACCTATACGTAGAATTTTGTTGCATGGCACATACAAGATGCATGATTACAGCCGACTCTCGGGTAATCCGTGCACTGAAATGTAAAGCAAAACATGAAAAAAATTGGAAATGTCAAATGGTCAAGAATGGATCGAGAAATTGGGAACAGGTTTGCGTATCGGCTATTTCTGAATGTCAAAATAATGTAGATAAGAGTAACTTAAAAATAATAATCAAAGCCAACCTAGTGCAGAAAAAAGACTACTGGTCCGAATACATAGAACCCCTTGGTCAACAAGGCCAAATGTTCAAACTACTTGCTAAGCAAGCAGAAGACTTCACATGGTGGTCCATGATTTTTAATCTCCCCAGAGGAGTGTTCAGTTTTGCAGTACGTGAATCAATAGACGCCCTTCCGTCTCTCTACAACCAGAAAACTTGGAGCAAAAGATCAACTGATAAGCTTTGTGGCAACCACAAATCTTTATTTCATGTATTGAATGCTTGTATTAAAGCATTGAAGCCAGGTCATTTTACATGGCGCCATAATTGTATTTTAAGAAATCCAATCCAATTTGTTTCTGAATTTAGAAAAGGTGTTCGGGTTTTTGCAGACATTAGTGGTTATTCTACTGCATGGTGAACGATTCCCCCAAAGTATATTAGTCACTAATTTAAAGCCAGGTGTAGTTATTATCAATGAAACAGCTAAGTAATTGATACTGTAGAGCTAACAGTCCCATTTGAGACAAAATATCGAAAAAGCATATATGTACAAAATTAAAGAGTATTCAAATCTCTGTTATGATCTTAACAACATCCGCTTTTCTTGTCACCTTCTGTGAATTAAAATAGGATCACGAGGACAAATAGGAAAATAGTTAAAATTGCTAGTAAAGTTATTGGTATTAATGTTAAATCGTTAGAAGAAATTGCAAAAGAAGCTGTAAGCAAAAAAAATGAAAGTAATCATTGCTGATAAAAAACCATCCACTTAATAAATATGTTGCGTTCAACAGGAGTGGAAGAATCCATTTTCCTGTGATTAAAACTAACCGACTGCGTGACTCTTTTCATCCATTTGCCATGAGGCTACATAATGTAAACTTTGTCAGGTGAATATTTCTCATACCAGAGTTATGGATGATATGAATGAATGAACCTATGCATGAATGAATTTGAATTAAATTTTTGTTATTCTTGGTAAATTTTTAACTTTTTAGTCTTTTACAGTTGTTTTAATTTTTTTACGGCTTACTCTTTTAATTTTTTACTGCTATTTTACTCTGTACGTGTTTCATTTTACCATCTGTTTTTACCCATTTGTTTGTATGACTTGTAATGTGTATTTTACCCTTTTTCATATTTGTATTTTAATCTGACAAGCAAAGCAAATTTCAACCCATTTTATGAGTTTGACCAATAAATTGAATTGAATTAAAAATAATAATGAAAATGGACTTTGGAAATTGAAAATCAAAACAGATAAAAAAAAAACTTGGTGAATTAGCATTTGCATCCAGTTACGCAATATGGAATGCAAGGCACTCTACAGAGTGGGAGAACTGTTCTCACTCTTAATTAATTACTATTTTTTTTTAATTTTACTTTTTCTATGTAATAATTCAAAAAGAAAAAAACCCATAAATATTGCAATTATTCGTTTGTAAAATTACTGTTTACTTTTGGGGTGTCCAGTCACATATTTTCAATTTTAATATTTTAAGACGAATAATTGAAATGTAAATCCATATATAAATATGTTTAAAATAAAATACTACACAACTGATATTTTGTTGAATTTTCATCTAATAATTGTGTAAATCCAATATACTCCACAGATGTCGAAGATCCTGTATTGACATGTCCATCTGACACCAGCTTGTCAATTGACGCAGGAACGTTGACAGCTAGTGTTACATATAATGTTTCGGATGTTACAGTAACTGACAACTCAGGGGAAACTCTTGTTCCAACTACTATAACATCATTTCCAGCTCAATTTGTGATTGGACCAACCAATGTAACATATACAGCTACCGATTTTTCAGGAAATACTGGTAGTTGTACGTTTACAGTAACAATTATAGGTTAGTTACTGTATATTTAGTTAATTATACATGGACTTTTTCCATATAAAAATATTTGTAAGCAAAAATACTATACAACTGATACTTTGTAGGATTTTTAACAACCAATGTATTTTGTAAATCTAATCTATTCCCCAGATGCCGACGATCCTGTATTGACATGTCCACCTGACATAAGCTTGTCAACTGACACAGAAACATCAACGGCTACTGCCACATATAATGCTTCGGATGTTACAGTAACTGACAACTCAGGAGAAATTCTTGTTCCAATTACCACAACATTATTTCCAGCTCAATTTGTGATTGGACCAACCAATGTAACATATACAGCTACCGATTCTTCTGGAAATATTGGTAGTTGTAGGTTTACAGTAACGGTTACAGGTTAGTTATATTTAGTTATCCATACATACACTTACTCCAAATAAAAAGTATTTATAAACAAAAATACTAATAAATTGTAACTCTTTACGATTTTCAACTAATAATTATCTATTATGTAAATCAAATGTACTCTACAGATAACGAAGATCCTGTATTGACATGTCCACCTCACACAAGCTTGTCAATTGACGCAGGAGCGTCGACAGCTACTGTCACATATAATGCTTCGGATGTTA